CCCACCACAGCAGGCAGCTGCAGCAGAAGCTGCATGGAGCCAGCTCCCCCACTGCTGCCACCTGGGTGGGTGGGGGCGGGGCCAGCTCCTGGCTCCCCTGCAGCCCTGCCAATCCCCCCCAGCCATAATCTGCAACCCCCAGCCCTGCCAGAGGGATCCCCAGCCCCCTGCAAGCCCCACTTACCTCAGGTTCCAGAAGAAAAGTGAGGCTGAACTGAGCTGAGCGGAGCCATGGCTGACTCTGGGCAGGGCTGGGGGTTTCCTGCCCTGTTTGCAAACAGTTCTTGCAGGCTGGAGCTCAGCCAGCCTGCAAGCTGTTTGCAAAAGCAGGGAATCTGCGGATTTCTCTGCTAAGAGGAGAAATCCGTGTTTTCTCTGTTTTTCCATGGGAAACGGAAAACCCGGATCCCTGCTCATAAGTAGCTAGAGATCAGCAAGTTGTTCCAGCTGCCTTGATTTCTCTCTCTTCCCCTCCTTCTCTGTGGATGCATTCAGATTGCCAGCCTTTACAGCTTCGTTTACAAAAGAAGCAAAGAATAGTGACAGGTAGAGGCTACGAGAACCGGCATCATTCCCAGCCCCGCAGTTTTTCTTACCTTCATCTTCTGAAAGCACAGAAATTCTCTCTCATGCTTTTGAGATCAGTACTCATCTATTCAGGTCTTGTTCCACCCTGATCATGCTGCTATCTGGGCATCCCTCAGTAGTGGCTCAGGCAATGTCATGTTCTTTCTCCCCTCCTTTTCCCAATCGGAGAATTGTGTGTGCAGTACATGTGCTTTGTTTTTGTGGGGGTTGTTTTGTTTTGTTTTGTTTTGTTTTTAAATGCACGTGCTACTTGGAGAAGGCAGCGTTGAAAATTGTACTTTATACTTGAAGTGGGAGGTTGTTCACTTTGTGATAGTTCCCATGGGAATTAATTTCATGGTCTTGGATCAGTTTTCAGGACAGCTTTGTCTCCCTCACAGATCAGTTTTTCTTATGGTAGAAAGTTCCACCGTGCCTGAGGAAATAAGCGGTCCACCACAGTCTTTATCCTGGAGGTTAAGGTGATCTTTTAGAAATCCTAGGTTTAGGCCTCTTAAGTGCCTTGAAAGTAAGGAACAAGTCTTTGGACTTGACTTAATTGCCTATAAAAAACCATTTTGAGAGCTGTATTTAAATTCTGTCTCTAACAGGGCTAGAAAATAAGAATAAGGTCTGTATTAGGAGATGGATATGGGCAAAAAGGACTAAGCATGTAAAGTCAAAATTGGGTACAATTTAGTGCTTACAGTAAT